CTAATTTTTAAATTTTTTGTAGAGACAGGATCTCTCTGTGTTGCTTAGATTGGCCTTGAACCAGGCTCAAGCAATCCTTTCACCTTGGCCTGGGATTACAATTGTGAGCCACCATGCCTGGCCTTTTTTTTTTTTTTTTTTTTTGCAGTTAAGTATATCAGCCTCTTCCATAGCTTCTGGGTTTTGTATCATTCTTAGAATGTCCTCCCTATTTCAAAATTTTCTTTTTAAAGTCTTCATTTTTTTCTTCTACTACTTTCATGATTTCATTTTTTATTTTTAAATCTTTGGCTTATCTGGAATTCATTTTGATGCAAGTTTGGGTTATTGTATTCAGTTGTCCCAAAGCATTTATTGAATAATCCATCATTTCCTCACTACTTTGGAATGCTAACTCTTTTTTTTTTTTTTAATTTTAAATTGTGGTTACAAACACAACATAAAATTTACCATCTTAACCATTTTTATGTGTACAATTCAGTAGTGTTAAGTGTATTCACATTGTTGTGCAACAGATTCCTAGAGCTCTTTCATCTTGCAGAACTGAAACTCTATACCCATTAAACAACAACTCTCCATTGAAATGTTGCAGTTTTATAATAAACTAATTTCCCATCTTCTTTTTTCTTCCTGGACCACTGTCACAGCTTTCTAGCATCACCATAATTCCAATTTGTCATGCACACTATTGCCTGATTAATTTTCCTCATGCAAGCTCTGACCACAACTCTACTTCATTTAAAATCTTCAGAGGCCCTCTCTGACACTGCAATTGAGATTAAACCCCCATTATACCCTTTCATAGTGCCCTGTACCTTTTTATCCTATCACTTTTCATGATTTGTAATTTGAATTACCTGCATGATTACTTGACTACTGGCTATCTCCTTGCTAAACTTGAAGTTTCATGAGAGCAAGGACAGTGTGCTCACCACATATTCCCAGTGCTTAGCATTGTTCCTGGCACATATTAGGTGCTCAATCCTTATTTGTGGAATGAGAGATTGTCCCTCACCTGTGGAATAAAGTATTAACAACTGCAGGATCTGATTCCACCCTACCTCCTCTCAGTTCTCTGCCCTTTGAGGAAGTCAAGCTGCAGGACTTCCTTGAGAAAGCCTTGGGCTTTCTAACATTTTGTTCTGGTTTATATCAAGCCCTGATTTTATCTTTTTATTTCTGCTCCAATTGCCCCCTCAGCCTGGAGGCCATTACATCCCCTCAAGCCCCCACCAGCATTGCCGCTTTGTGAAAATACAATTCATCCTTCAAGGCTGTGGCTATCTCCACCACTGAGTGATGAGTTCCTCAGAGCAGGAACGGGGTTCTCCCTAGTTTGTCCCTAGGGAGCAGCACTGCTTCTGGGCTCTACGAGGTACTCTTGGCTACACATTTGTTCTGAGCAGCAAGCTCCATGAGGGTAGACAATGTTCTTTACTTGTGTGCATCTGGGAACCTTGCCTCCTAGCCCTGTGCTGAGCAGCAAGCTCCTTGCAGATTGACAGTGTTATTTACTTGTGTACGTCGGGGTATCTTGCCTCCTAGCCCCCAGGGCCTATCCCAGGCCAGGACTTGGAGTTGGCTTCAGGAATCTTCTGGAAACCTAATGAATGAATGTGTCTGGTTGTGCCATTAGAGGCCTGAACATGACCTCTATGACAAGGACTGAGACTTGCCCACCTTTCCTCCACTGTGCCTTGTGGAGCTCCCTTACTCCCTCTCCTCTCGCAATAAACAATTACTGACCCATGCCCTCCTCATCTGCCCCTGTGCAGGGCCTTGGGTCTTCCTTCAGTATGTCCCATGCCTTCTCCCTCCAAGTTGTCTGGAGAGGAGGCTGCTCAGTTGGCCACATTTCTGGCCACTGGTCCCATGCCAAAGTTCTTGCTCTCCCTCCTCATTCAGAAGCACCTTCTCTAGGTTTGATGAGTAATTTTACATGTCAATTCGACTGGGATAAGTATATTGATTGCTGGTCAAATATTATTTCTGTGTGTGTCTGAGAGGGTGTTTTCAGAAGAGATGAGCAAATGAATGGGTAGACTGAGGTCAGAAGATTGCCCTCAGCAATGTGGGTAGGCATCATCTGATCTGTTGAGGGCCCAAGTAGAACAAAAAGACAGAAGAAGGGTGAATTTGTTTCTGTCTAATCTGGTACATCATCTTCTTCTGGTGTTGTACCTCTGCGTGCCTGGTTCTCAAGCCTTCAGACTCAGACCAAGGCTTACACTATCACTATCTTCCACCTTTTCAGGCCTTCAGACTCCGACGAATTACACCACTGGCTTGCCTGGTTCTTCAGCTTGCAGACAGCAGACTGTGGGACTTCTCGGCCTCCATAATTTTGTGAGCCAACTCATATATATCTGCAGGTCTCTATCCTATTTTTCTGTTTCTTTGGAGACTTTGATTAATATACTAAAGATGCTCAGATCATTCCCCACCACCACCTGCTTCCCAGCTGCACTCCTGTCACCCCCGTGATTCCAAAACAGCGCATCCCGTCCTGAAGGCACTGGCCCCTGGCTCAAGCTTCTGTCCACTGAAGAGCTACTGCCATCCTGGGAGTTCCAGAGCTTATATTCATAGAGATCAGGGGTGGCAAGCTGAGGACCAGGCACTGCACGCAGCCTGCTGACCTATTTAGTTTGGCCAGAATTGTGTTTTTTGAAGGCCTCAGCAAGGGAGAGACCCCAGGACCCTCCAGCCTTTCAGCGTTCGGCTCCTTCCACAGCCTGTCATTCTGCTTCAGCCCCTATTCCTGTGTCCACACTGCCCTTGTGTTGCTAGGAGCTATGCAGATTCTGAGAACCTTATTCCCCTCCCTTCCTAGCTCCCCTAGTCTTGCCCATGTGCAATAGATAGATAGGGCCAAAGAAGGATCCTATGACCTGGGAGCTCAGGTTCCTCCTTCCCCTCCCTTCCTAGCTCCCCTAGTCTTGCCCATGTGCAATAGATAGATAGGGCCAAAGAAGGATCCTATGACCTGGGAGCTCAGGTTCCTCCTTCCCCTCCCTTCCTAGCTCCCCAAATCCAGTTCCTGTGTTCTCCTCACAGACCCCGGGCCCTCAAGCCTGCTCTGCTCTCCCCACCTTCTTCCAGGCTTCCTTTCTTCCCTCTCTGTTTTCCCACCCCTGCCTCATCAGCCCCCTCAAAACCTCATGTCTCCCTGTTCCCAGCCTTAGATGAATCTGACCATCCACTTTTATTGAAATAATCTTAAAAATGGGATGTTAAAAATTGGTTAATTATTTGCTTTCCTACAAACCTCCAGAGATTCTTCCAGAGCCACAGGACTGCTGGCACGAAGGCGAAGGCATGTTTCCTGATGGCCCTGTGGACTCTGCCTTTTGTTAACTTCTCTAACCTCATCAGTTCCTGTCCCCTTCACCAGCTCTGTGACAGCCTACATGCTGAACTCCTGGTTTTCAACCACTGTCGCCCCTCTCATGCACCTGTGCCTGTGTAACAGCTGTTCCCCTCACTCATTCTTCCCTTGGCTGACTCAAGTCTTATTTCAAAGGCCAACTCTTTCTATAGGTGCATATACCTTTATGTAAGGACAGAGAGCAAGGCCAGCAAGGATCCACCACAGATAATCAATTGCTACCTCTGTGGAGAACTGGAGGCAATCAGGATTGAGGAAGAGATTTGGTCAAAGGGAACTTTAGCCTTATCTGCAAAGCTTCTACTTTTTACAGGAAGATTGGATCATGTATTTATTACCTGTGAAATATGAAAACAAACAAACCAGTTCAATATAAGGAACCTTCTCTAGACTTCCCAGGCAGATGGAGCTGTTTCCTTTTCTGAGATCAAATAGCACCTTCCTCCTGTGTTCTAGGAAATGCTGTTTTATTATAATTTGTTTGTGCTTGTCTTTCCTTCTGAGATGGGGAACTCCCTCAAAGGTAAACTTCATTTAATTCATGCTCCCAGTGTCTAGCAAAATGCCTGGCCTAGAGCAGGTGCTCAGGGAGTGCCAAGTCCAACAAACGCCCCTGCTAGCACACTCTTTCGAAAGTGCTTGCTAGGGAGCAGGCCTGATGTTAGTCCTGAGAGGCTGATTAGAGTCGTTTCCAACGTTCAAGGAAGAAGGCTGTCTGGGAGTATAAAACGTGGACAGAGTGTCCAGGACATTGGGTTGTGTCAACACGAGGACAAGACTTTATCAGAGTATCACAAGGCCACAATCCAGTGCAGTGCCAGTGCCTTGTCACTTGGCATGCTTCTGAAGCCATTGCTTCCTCAGCAGTTAATCGAGAGGGAAGGGATAGATCACTGAATGTTGAACTTGTCAAGCCTAGTCCTGATCTGTATCTCTAAGATGGAAAGGCCAGCTCAAACAACTGGGTGGGTCAGGAAGGTAGGAATTAGGGACACTCAAAACCAGCTCAGAGTGTCCCAGGCTAGCAGGTCTGAGCAGCTTTTTGAGGGGCCTGGAGAAGAAGGCACCCTGAATCACAGTTTAATGATGGGAGTCTGTTGCTTTTGTCATTTTCCAGAGAACTCTGAGCTCCCAGATCATAGAATCCTTCTTCGGCCCTATCCGTCTATTGCACATGGGCAGGAGGGCAAAGGAATGGCCTTAATGGGTCAATTGGATTGAAGCTAGAGAGTGGGTGGGGGTGGCTTTTAGAGTTGGTGAAGTGTGTTCCATGTGGCCAGGGATGTGCCTTTAGACTTGGATGTGCATGTGGCAAGGAGGCTGCACAAGGGTCTGATCAGTCTGTCTTCCAATAATGTCCCCAACCAGCCCCTGTATGCCATGGTGTTCCTGGAGTCTTAGGTCAATGAGACCAGGTACTCCCGAGGAGATAGCCACAGTGGTGCTGGCAGCAGGAATTCAGGGAACAGCCCCCTTCACCCTCCCTTCTCCTCCCATCCCATCCAGCTCCTTCCCAGCTAGCCACCCACAACCCCACCATGAGCCTCAGAATTGCTAAAAGGACATCAGACCATACTACACATCATTAGATCTCAATGAAGAATACCTCTAGTTGGCCTGTCTCTTTGCAAGTAACTTTATTTTTATTTACAACAGAATTGGTGGCTTTATTCCTCCATCTTTAGGGACATTTGGGATCAGCAGCTAGATGGAAAGTCTGAAGTGAAGTCAAACTCATTCTGCCCCAGCCACAGCTCCGGAAGCTCATTGGCTCGGTCCAACCCCAGTTCCACCACCAGCGACATCAGCACCTCCTCATCCACTGGGTCTGAATCGATGATAGCAGGGCTCTGGGCACCAGCAGAAGGAGAGAGTGATCCCGCCCCTCCCGCCGCCTGAGCCCCCAAGTCCCAGTTTTGCAGGGGCCCTGCCTCCCCGGGTTGGCCCGGAGTGGCGGCGGCCATCCCATGATACTGGCTATTAAGTTTCTGCAGCTGCATACTGGCCAGCAAGTGAGGGGCAGGGTTCAGGTTGAAGGATGGGGATTTAGCGGGAGGGGTGGCAGGAGGAGAGCCTACTGGCGATCCCGAGGGACTAGTGGGAGCCTCACTGGCCTTGTTTCCATTTGAGGCTACCCCAGGGTAGTGCAGAATGGCCACTGCTTTGCGATCTTTCACTGCAAGGTTAGAGTAGGCCATGGCGCTCATCTCTTGGTTGGCATCCTAGAAGACAGAGAAAAGCACACCACAGTAACCCTGCTCCTGGCTTGTCCTTCACCATTCAGCAGATTTAGAAGGCTCCTACCTGCACTTCATTTGGGGCTAGAGGTGGAGAGGTAGCAAGAGGACCCCCTTGAAAATTAGGCTCCCAGCTCAAGCATGCTTTTGCTGCCATGGCTCTGAGTACTGAAGCCAGACCCCAGTTCTAGTCCTGGAGCACCTGACATCATAAGTGCGTTCACTGCTTTCAGCTCCTTCCCCATAGCCTCCACTTCACCATCCTAAAAATCGCACCTCTTGTCCCTCTTCTCAGCCTCACTTTAATCTCTTCAACAGAGTGGTTTTGCTCCAGTTCGATTTCTCTGCTCCCTTTCCTGCCATCTTTCGACACCCCTAGTAGATACTATCCAACCACATTTAGGCAGGAGCTGTTCTCATTCTCCCCAGAGATAGCCCTGTTGTCTCCTCTCTGCTCAAGGACACTGGGTAACACACCTAGGAAGGCCTGGCCCATGACCCTAGAAAATTTGTCTTTCCCTGCCTCATCTGTAAAATGTCAAAAATTACCTCCTTCACAGGTGAGGTGCCACCCTTGACATCAAGTGCAGGCCTCGAAGTTGTTGGCATTTCGGAGTCTTGGCAGAAGTTGGATAAATTGTCAGAAGATGATGCTGCCAGCTGGAGCTCTTGTGCTGCAAGTGAGGAAGAAGTGGTGGTAAGGGCAAAAGGCTTCACTGACCAACAAGGTACTAGCAAAGCCTGAAACAGGGCAATGCCACGCAACTACGAGGCAAGGATGGTGATCGGGTTACAGCCAAAACTAGAGATCACCTGAGCACAGGGAGGAGACCAAGCTGGAACTTTTGCCTGAGGTAGGAAAAGTGCTTGATTTGGCCAGGTGCCCAGGCAGCCACCTACCCATATCACCAAGATGGGACACCCTGCTTTCTCATGCGAGGGACTTCACAGTCCCAAGTTGTATGTGTGGGGGTGAGGGTGGCACTGTTACTGGTTTGGAGGACAGAAATGTCCTTGAGTAAGCAACATATTGTCTCAATGGGCTACTAGCATCCGGGCTGGAGAGTTGGGGCCTCCACTGGGACTGGGAGAATGTGGGAAGAAGTCAGAGCAAGGAAGACCTAGAAAGCTAGAGGTTGCAGCACAGGGAAGGAACAAGTCCCCAGTGCAAATGTCATGAAGCTCCAAAGCATAGCCTTGGGCATGCCTGTGAGAAGCCAGGCTGATCAGCGTGGTCTGGGGGCCCTGAGGCAGCTGGAGCCAGAGAGAAGCTAGGAATGTCTCACTTTCCTCCATGTCTCAAGCCCCCTCCAAAACAGCCCCAGCATTGGGCTTTCCTAGGATGCCTGCCGCAGAAACCTGAGCCCAGCCATTCCCAACTATAGTGACAAGTGAGGCACAGAGATTCAATGGTTTTTTAGTCAAGTAGCAGCAGTTCTGGGAGCAGGATCTAGCACCCCTATGCCCATATGCCTCATCTGACCACTGGCTAGGTAATCATACCTAGCTGGATTGAAATAGCGTCTAAAGAAGTGATTCCCTGGCTCAAGTGCCAAAGCATAAGGGAACAAGAGCAAAAGAATACCCCCCAAACCAGAAAATAAACAAACCTCTGAAAATCTCAACTTATTTTCCTAGACACCTGTTTACAAATAAGAAAAAATGTCCCATAGCCAGGCACAGCAGCACCCTCCTGTAGTCTCCTTCGCTCAGGAAGCTGAAGTGGGAGGATCACTTGAGCCTCGGAGTTTGATACTAGCCTGGGCAACATAGTGGGGCGCTCTCTCTCTCTCTCTCTCTCTCTTTTAAAGCCCCATATATTCTAGCCTTCATGATCAATTAGAGATGTAGAATTTCATATTTATAAATACCTCTTGGTTCAAAGAGTCTTGAGGACCTTAAAAAGCGTCTCTAATCTTTCCAAGGAGGCTAGAATTCTCCATGACACTCTCCACCCTCCAGTGGTTAAGAATCTGCTCAGACACTTCTTGAAAGTGGCCACTTACTATCTCTCCGTATCGTCTTTGCATTGCTTACTTGGGTGGATGGGGGCCGGAGGGAGAAAAAATAGAGAAACGGGTAAACATTTTTTTAAAACATGAGGAAAATATATCAGCTGCTGGGTCCCGCGTCATTGCTTGATTGAAGCCCTGCTCCTTCTCTGAGGCAACCTTAGAAAAATATTTCAAAAGCAAGTGATCACCAGACAAGAAGTCTAACATATGTCGTCTTCAAGAGCCCTAGTACCATCAGTATCAGGCAATTTTCCTGTACTAAAAAAAACGTCTGGGGGCCCTGTCCATCTTTTCCCGATCCTATCCAGCCTTTCCTCTCCTTTATGCCGCCTGGTACCCGAATGTACAAAAGGAATAAAAAACAACAGGAGTAGCAGCAACAACAGCAAAACCAAAAGAGAAAGATTAGGAAAAGAAAAAGAACGAGGAAAAACTATCTCTATTCTGCTATCAGTTCGTGCGGGAAGACCATTTTACCGCATCTCCCCCTTGAGGCTGGGAGCTCCCCCAGAAGAGACCCTGCGTCCATTCAGATCTTTAGCCTTCCATTACTGACCCACCACCCATCCTGACCCCCAGCCTGAGTCTGTGCTTCACAGGCGCTCAGTAAGTTGTTGAATGCGTCTGAAGAGGCAATCGCATTTAGATCGGCATCACTGGCTCTGCTTCCCCGGTTTTCTGTCCTCCTTCACCAACCTCTAGTCCGTTCGAGGGCAAAACTTGGCAACGTGGAAATGTACCAGCCCGCTCTCCAAGCCGGGAGCTGACCACTGCGAAACGGGCTGCGAGAGGCGGCTGGGAAACCTAGAGCAACAAGTGCCTCCCCGCCGGCTGGTGCCTCGCGGCCCCCCAGCCACCGGTTCCCAGTCCCGCCGCCCGCTCTTCGCTTCAGGCGTTCCCTTGGGCAGGCAGCCCCCCTCCCGCCTAGACAGGGGTGGGAAGGGGAGAGGAAAACCAGAAGGGAGAGGCAGGTGGGGGCCTCATCTTTAACCTGTTGGGGGACCAAAAGTTAAAATGGCACCAACCGGTTGGTTCCATCTCGATTGCTATTTTCTCACTCAGAAGGAGAAATTTAAAAATCCAAACAGCACTGCGGCTTGGCTTGGACGCGTTCTAACCAGACCAGTCAGTTTCGCCACCTGAAAACTAAAGGCCGGTTGTTTGCGGACAGCTCGGCTGCCCTCCTCGCCGCATCCCAGATGGAACCTCGGAACCGGGGGCAGCCGGGAGCATCCCTGCACGGCGGGCGCGAGCACCCAGGCCACCGGGGCACTGAGCGTCCGTTCCCCCAAGTGCTGGATCAGGAACCGATCGAAGAGACAGGATGGACAGGCGGGAAGGGGCGCGGGGTGTCGGCCTCGGCGAGTCCGGGGGCCCGCTGCGTTTCCGCGAGCGGGGGCGCACTCCGGCGCCGGCGGCAGCCACTCCCGCGCCTCATCAACACTTAGCGCCTGCTGAGCATCCGACACGGCCGCAGGCTGAGCCTACTCGCTAGCCAAGCCGCCTGCGGTCAGTGCTAAAACCCCACTACGAGAAGAGTGAGAGAGCCTCGGAGAGGTGCAGTAACTTGCCCAAGGTCACAGCGCTAGAAAGTGACGGAGCCGGGATTCGCAGCCAGGTCTCTCTGACTCCAAGTCCGGAGCTCTGCGAGGCAGGGACTCGGCGCGCGGCTCAGCCGCCCGCGTTTATAGGGAGAGGGGTGTGCGCGTGGGTGTGTGTGTGTGGGCGTGTGTCGGGGGAGGGGAGAGCTGAGGTCGACTGGGCAGCAGAGGCAAGTTGCCCAAATTCGCTAACTTCCATCCCGCAATTAACGCTGAACTCGGCCCGAAAAGCCCCTTTTGCCTCCATTCCCCGAAGGAAACCTGAGCTTTGTGCAGCTCCGGAGCCGGAGCTTCCAGATGCGGTCCGGGCGATTAGGAAAGTCGGTGGAAGCCAAGCTGGAGAAAGCGCGGGGAGAAAAGGTTCTGCCATCTCCCTGGGAGAAGCGGGCGCCTGGCCCGGCTGGCCGGCAGGCGGGCGCGCTGGCTAGCGAACCGGCGCGCTGGCTGGCGGGCGGCAGCGGCGGCCCCTCGCCCCCAGCAGAGCAGCTTTCCAACAGAAAACAAGTCTCCCCAGAACCCTCCGGCCCGCCTGGCGGCCACCCGCTCCCCACACAGCTCCCCACACCCGCTACACGGGAGTCCTCGGCCCCGCCGCCCAGCCCGGCACCCAGCCCGGCGGCCCGGCTTACCTCTGCGAAGCCGCCTGCCCTGGAGAGAGGGAAGCGCGGAGCTCGGTGAGCCGCAGGAGAGGCGGCGGAGCCCCCAGCCCCTGGCACGCACGCCGCCGCCACCGCCGCCGCGAGCCGGTCGCGCTCAGCGCCCGCGGCCGCGCCGGTGGCCACCCGACCCCGGGGCGCCTGGGAAAAGCCCGCACCGCGCCTCGCCGCGCCGCGCCGCGCCGCCGCTGCACCGCACAGTGCCGCGCCAAGCAGCTCCGGCCTTATCCGGTGCCCTCCCGCCCGCCCGCCCGCGGCTTCGGCGCCGGACTCCGCGGCGGTGGCGGTGGCGGCCACCGCGCTCCCTTCCCGGCGCTGGGGACCCGGCTCTCAAGCCCCCATTGCAGCCCGGAGAGCCCTGACGCACACGCACACGGCAGCAGACTGGCCTTGGCTAGGAATCCCAGGAAGGACAGACCCTTTTTTTCCCTTTTTTTTTTCTCCCCCCAATTTCCACGTCTTTATAACCGGCTTAGGGCATTATTAGCACATGTCCTGGCTCTTGGGCGAGTTGGTGGCAAAATCTGAACTGGATACTCACGGAGAGCCCGCGCGGGTGTTGTGCAGTCCTCTTCTTTCTCCGTCCTCACCGGGAACTGCCCCTCGCCGGCGGGCTACAGGAGGGCAGCCGGGCAGAGCGAGCTTCCTTTCGGCAGCTCAGCAGTGCCCTTTCTGCAGTTGTGCCGCCGGGAACATTTTTATAGCAGCGGCTGGCGTGTGTGGCCCTTTAAAGGCGCTCGAGCTGGTGCAGTCACCACGGATCGTGTGAAAGCGAAGGGCCGGCTGGGGAACGGAGTCCACGCGGCCCCGCGGGTCCTGCAGCCCTGTGGACCGTCTACGGCTCTCGGGTTGGGGCTGGGGAGTCCGGGCTGTGCGCACCCCTCGCCCAGAGCCCTGGCCGGTGCCCGGCTTCTAAAGCTGTCGGGGGCCAGGGCCCGGGACACCGGCTCTCCCCACCGACCTGCGTGGACTTGCCCAATAAATTCCACTTAGTAATTTCACTGAGGCAAAGGAGAGCCGCTAGTGTCTGTTTTCTGACCTAAATCTAGTGGGGAGCCACAGCGGGCTTCAGGGGTTTTGGGAGAGAGCTGTGGGCTCAAGGAGTGACCTGGAATAGAGGTCTAAGGCACACGGGACGGGGCATGGTCATTAGTTTTCTTGGAGCCTGTCTGCCTTTTGGGGGGGGGGCTGTACTATCTCATTCGTTTAACAGCTGAGGCTGGGGGTTCCTTTTCCTCTTAAAGTTGCCAGATTCTGCGCAGAGTCGCATGGAGGGCCTATATGGCAGTGGTGGCTCTCCTCGAAGTCCTGAGCTGGGGTTGGGTTGGAGGGTTTCTGTTCTGTGGTCATCCAGAGCAGGAAGCTGGCAAGATGCGACGCGGAGAAATGCTACTCTCCCGGACCATGGGGCTAGGTGCAGCTCACGAGGCTCACTGAAAAACCAACAGCCGGCAACGGGGTACGAAGAGCTTGCCCCAGAGTTCGCGGAGATTCCTTCTGCCTTCCTACGATGCCAGGTTCTTTTATTATGATTATATAATCATTCGCGTCTAGCAAGAATAACATTTTGCATTTGGAGTTTGTCTTCCTTGGATAGAGATATTGTCCTACAAATCCTTACTGGAAAGAGGTCTGGGTCTTCTCCCTCATCTCAATTCGTGTTCTTTGTGGCCAAGAAATTCCCACCTTACCTCTTACGGGAAGGTCATCAGGATTACCTCTCTATTACCGCCCCCTCGCCACCGCTGCACTTTTTCGGCTTCCTTTCAGCAACAACTACTCAGTTTACACTGTTTATAAAACCTGCTCTTTAAGAAAAGGTCCTGAAGTTTAAAAAAAAAAAAAAAAAAAAAAAAAAAGCAGGTGGGTTGAGGGGGAGAGGGAATGTCACGAAGTCATTTTCCCTATGTATGTGTTTTGTCTTCTTAATTGGATTTGAATACCTGTAGGTCTCTTTTTCTTTTCTTTTTCATTTTTCAGTAGCGCCAAGTGCCCTGCATTTGCTCGTCTAACAAAGTTCTGTTTGTTGACGGACTGACCAGCTTACAGACACAAAGATGGGAAGCAAACGGAGAGACGGATCAAGGCCCTTCCTCGGCATCTGGAGGAAGATTGGACGAGTGCCTTGGTCGCTAGTTAAACCCATTCCCCAGCCCCTAAAGCTGCCTTGCAGGGACCGTCTTTTCACCTACCCTGTCCCAACACAAACCCCAGTAGCAGCCACACCACACACATCTTCGCTGCACTTTCTCACTTTGCTTGCAAGATTGTGGGCCCTGCCTAGTCTCCCTCTGATAAAAGACGGGACCTGTTGGCTCCCTAAAGTCTTACTGCAAACCTCGTGTGAAATACACCCTCAAGTCCTCTTGGTGTTTGCCTGGGACGAAAAAAAAAATGTTTCTGCGAAAACTAAGTGTTGGAGAATGAGCGACTCTAGCCTTTCGTATAGCGCGTTAGTATTTTGAACCACTGACCCAACCTCCCGGTCAGTCTTGGCTTGGCTCCGGAGTGGGTCTGGCAACAGCGGCAGCGTCTCGGCTGCAGGCTCCGGATCCGGGAGGTGTGGATCCACCCTCCATCTATTGGATGGCTCCCAGGCCAATTGTTAGAAAGAGGCATGTGTTCATCTCGGCTTCTGGACTGTCTCTGGAGCAGTTGCTCAACAGCCAGCCCCCTCCCCCAACCGGACCATTGAAGGGCAGAAAAAGGAGCGCCCTCCGCCACATTTCTCAGTGCCCACTTGCCAGTAAGGGCCTCCCCACTGGTGACTTCCTGTCATCTCCACTGCTTATTCTGGGGAGCAGGAAAGAGAGAGGCTTCAAGCACTCGGCTTTGGAGCACAAAAGCTACCCCTTTGCTTTTTGGGGAGATGGGAGAGGAGGTTAGTTGAAGAGGATGAGAGGGAGCAAAGGAGACATTTGCATTTCTCGGCAAAAATGCTCTGATAACTGACTTCCCCGTTGGCTCCAAAAGAGCTCAGAGCTCTCCGCTAAACTCTTATCTTCAACTTAGCAACTAGACCGCGAGCTTGCGAAGCGGGGAGAGGACAGGGATGGTCACCCACCGAGAACCTCTGTGCGCCAGCACTGGGCCTGACATGTTCCCCATCCATCGTGTCATTTAATTCCCAGTACAGCCCTTTGAGGTAGGGTTTACTAAAGATGAAACAGAACCTCGGGGAATTGCCCAAATTCACAAAGCCACGTGGCTGGGTGTTTGAATCCGGGTCCGGCTGGCTGCAAAGTTTTTACCCTCGGCCCTAATTCCCGCTGCCTGGGAGGGTAAGGAAGCTGTCTAGAGTGCAGGCTCAGGGGTCAGTGGCCTGGGTTTAAATTCCTACTTTGCCATTTCTTAGCAGCGAGGCCTTAGACCACTGGCTTCGTGCTTTGGGCTTCAGTTTTCCCATCTGTGAAATGGAGATAACAATGGTACCTACTTTGTGCGGGTTGCTTACCCTGGTTGGTGCCCGCAGTGTAGTGAATGGCCAATAAATGCTGTTATTGTACTGGGCCTTCTAATTATTTTCCTTTTGCCTCCCATCCCTGCCTCAGTTCACACACTTCAGGTTCAGTAATACTTGCTGACTGATTAATTTAAAAACCAGACTGAGAGGGGATGAAGAAGGTCTATAAACTCAGGAAGGAGAGAGAGAGAGAAAAAAATGCAGATTTCTTCTTAAAATCCCACCCTCCAGAATCAAGGACTGCCTGAAGCCATATGGCAGGAGTAAATTTGGGACCAAAAAAAGGTGACCACTTTTTACAGGTCAGCCTATAAACTTACAGAGTGGTCTCCAGAAACATATACTCAATATGTGTGTAGAAAAAACTTAAAAAGCGACTGGGCACGGTGGCTCACGCCTGTAATCGCAGCACTTTGGGAAGCTGAGGCAGGCGGATCACGAGGTCAGGAGATCCTGGCCAACATGGTGAAACCCCATTTCTATTTTTTAAAAAATACAAAAATTAGTCTGGCACGGTGGCAGGTGCCTGTAGTCCCAGCCACTGGGGAAGCTGAGGCAGGAGAATCGCTTGAACTCTGGAGGCGGGAGGCGAAGGTTGCAGTGAGCCGAGATCGTGCCGCTGCACTCAAGTATGGTGACAGAGTGAGACTCCATCACAAAAAAAGAAAAAAAAAATGAGAAAAAACTTAAAAAGCACGTTTTTATTCAAGAATATTTACAGCAGAATTGTTTATAATAGTGAAAAATGAAACGGAACCTAAATGTCTATGGAAGTGTCCCTTGGTACCTTGACACTAAAAAAAAAAAATCTGATTTTGAAAACTCTTATTCATAGGAAACTGTTCATAACAAAATATGAAATTAAAAAATGCTGGGTACAAAGTTGCATAAATATGATGCCAAGCTGCAAAGGGCACAAAGGGAACAAAATTAAATACGCACTATGTTTCCAATTGTGTATGAATATGTACAGAAAGCAATGGTCAGGCAAATACTGAAATGATAACAGTGCCAGTAGAGTGGTAGGATTTGAGCAATATTTTTCTGTTTTCCCCATATTATGCAATATTATTCTTATAAGTAAATATGAATTTTTTCTTTTTT